ATTATACTATCATACACAATACAATCAGCATGAAGCACTTGTCAAGACCAATACATCAAAGTTTAATTCAGTAATAGAATGAATTAGAGCAAAATGAAACATTCTGTTCTCCAAGAAACACAGCACCCATAGAAAGCCTTTTTTTTCTGAAGGCTGCACAGAGAAACCAGAATGCATTAAGGAATTGTTTCTATGAATAAAATTGCAACTTGGATCCAACTGAATGCTGAGAGTACTTTTCCTTGGGGTTCTTATCAAGGAGAGAACAGCACTGAAGTGCTTTGCCTATCTTCACTGTTCCATAAAAGCAACTGTTTAATTGGAGCATTCTCCAGTGGGACTTCTGATTATGCTTTGTTCTAATGGAGATATCTCTGTGCCTGGAGGAGGGAGGTGGCTTTACTAGCCATTCTGAAAGCACTTGTCCTTCTCCTTGAGAAGCAATAAATACCATAGACTACCTTCTTTGAGGTTTCCAAGTGGCTGTCCCAGTGAAAGTGCATATGTGTTTAAAAAACAGGTGTAAACCACTTTAAAATCCTTTGCTGACACTTCTACTGTAAAGCGGTCATAGGTTCTGTCTCCTAGTATTGTTTCTGTTCTGGCACTTCCAATGCTGGAAAATGATGCTTTTGTAATAGAATTGATTAGGCTCAAATGGGGCACAGTGGCAAGTGTGCAGGAAGTGCTGAAGCTGACTTGTCTGTTGCACGAAGGGAATGATCTTGATTACCTGGCTCCATTTTCTTTGAAATGATCAAATGCTGCTAGCTTATGGGTTTTTCTTTTTTACAAAGAGATGTGCATTAATGGGAAGGGCAAAGATATGTCACAGTAGATGTGCATCTGCTTCTTGCATACTTTAATTTTGCAAATGAATGGGTTGACCTTAAGTATATTAATGTAAAATTCCACAACAAAGCCTAAGTCTCAGCCATTGATTACACAGGTATTGTAAATGAGTAAATGCTGACCCAAGCTTAGCTACACAGCAGCCCTGACAAGGTAGCATAACACTTCTAAGAAAAGCAGATTTCTGGGGAAGACTGTAATCAAACAATCAAATGGAATTGTATGCTGGATCTTCAGTCATGGTCAGTGTCCTAGTGCCCCACTAAAACCGTTTCCATCACCACCTTTCCATTTACTGGGGTGAGAGTAAAATATAATGGGATTTATGAAAACTGAGCAGTGCTTAATCTCTTGGGAGAGTTTGTATACATTCCTTGCACCTCCTTTGGCTTCATGAATCCATGCATACACAGGATGTGTAATTATTACAACATCTACTTTTACAGTGACTGAATACTTCTTAATGGTTTTCCATTTGCATATTTAAATCCTAATCAGTGTAAAGGCATGCTGTCCCTTTCTCCCCCATGAATTCAAAGGTATGGATGTCTACTGAGAAACACAAAAGTACTGATGTTCCCTTGTATGTACAAGGAAGGCATGCATTGTGTAAAGCAATAACCTTTTTTTTTTTTCTTTGTGGTGTGAGGCACACTAAAGATGAATGACAACCATGCATTTTCAAAAGGAGGGCTGTCCGAACCAAAGGTCTGTTTTGGCAAAGCTGGCTTTTTCCAGGTCAAAAGGATTAGTGTTGAACCAAAATCGGCAATTTATCACTGCAATAAGACAGTTCTAATATTCATTCCCCTGTGAAATTAATACCGAATTGCAGTCGCAGCATGTCTTATTTTCCAATTTTCTTCGGGGGGAAATATTTTTATATATTGGGTTATGATCATTTTGCCACTGGATGTGAGGAGTTCTGTATTGGACAGATGGTCACAGTTGAGGGATCCAAATCAGAACTTTCCTTTTGGTTTAGTAGCATGTAGTTCAGGGAGGAAGATGTGTCAGCCCTCTGAGAACCAGTGTGAAGAAGATACCTGGTGCCTGGGGAAAGGGAGACAGGAGGAAGAGTGAGCTGTGTTAGAGAGAAAAACAGAATATATAAACACAAACACATTCTCTGTTGGGTGGGGTTGGTTTTTTTTTCATTTAATGAGGCATTTGTTCATATTGCAGGTGGCATTGGTGACATCATTAAATCTAGTCAAACAGGTAAACTTGAGAATGCCAGGAATTTATTTTGGGAGAATTTTTTTGAGTATAGACTGTTGCCAACAGCAGTTTGCAGGCTGAAGTCACTGCAAATGGATTTAATACCTTCTCCACAAATAGCAAGTAGCTGCCCTTCATTTTTCTGTAAGCCTTATCTGTGGTAAGGGGTAAGTGTGATCAGCTGTTTCCCTGTATGGGAGCAGAAAATATAGACTCTCTTGTTTGAGGCTAGTGTAAGCCTTCAGGTTGGTGGTGACATTTAAGGGCCAGCTCAGGGGGGCTTCCACTGAGCAGCATCAGAGTGAAATAGGAAGAATATCCTCCAGGCTCCTTCCAGTTGGCATGTGGTAAAAATCTGGGCACAAGTGAACGTTTTCCTCAGACTTTTCAGTGCTAGGAGCAGGACAGGAACCAGTGAATTGAAAGAGCCAGAATGGAGCAGATGTCAGGGGAGGGGGAAGGCACTTAGGGAGCAGGAGGAGGAAGAAGTATGAATACAGGCAAATGCACACATGCTAGGGGAAAAAAAAAAAAAAAAAAGAAAAAACACACACACAAAAAAACCTGAACCAAAAAACCTAGATACCCAAACAGGCTGAAGAGTGTGGGGTCATTGGCATTATGCATCCTTCTCCCAGATGGTAGCCTTTGTAGCACTACAGGAGCTGAGCCTGAGGCTCTTTCTGTTCCCTTCTCTTCTCGTGAGGGAGTTTTGTCTCGCACTCCTCTTCCTGCAGGGAATTGGGCAGCCGTGAAAGCTGGTTGAGATCTCAGATGTGCGTGCAGCTTGCCCTGAAGTCACTGGGAGCAGGGTGCAGTTGGGCTCTATTGAAATTTTAGGTGGTTTGTGTGGGGTTTATTAGAAATACACTTGTCCTTGTGCTTCATTTGCATAAAAATAGCCTGGCTTTCTGAGACAATGTAGTTATGCTTGATATAGTTTCCCTCTTTAAACCAAAGAAGTTTTTAAAGGATTTTAGTACTTTGAGGTATCTCTTCCCTCTCTCTGCCTCTTAGATGTACTGCATGCATACTGGAGCTTCTGAAGAAGGCGAATGAATTCCTTTGCCTCTAGTGGTGTTTCTGAGATGTGGAAAAAGAAAAGGCCACTCATTTTGTAGGGGCATGGTGTAATCAGTAGTGTGTGTTCCACCTTGCTGGATGATTTAAGTACTCACCAAATGCAGTTAAGGTGTTCCACTTTGCTTTTGCTTCAGTCTGAAAACACTGGGAATCTGGTTACAAAGTATTAAATTGGCTTTTTTTTTTGTTAGATGCTGAGAGGTACAGTGTCTCCTTAGTGCCCTCAAGTGATACTTGATTTTGAAAATAAATAAGCAAGCCCAAGTTAACTATTCTCCAAGGCTTTCCAGTATGCCCCATCTTCTGTTTTGTTTACAGATGACAAGAAATACAGTTGTTCTGTCTTGGGCAGTGCTGAATGCATTGGTGCTTAATAATGAGAACCAGTTGTAATTTGACTCTGTTTGGAGAGTGAAGCATGTTGACAAGTGTGTCTGAAGAAAGTCATATGATTTGATTTCAAAAGAAGTTTTTATAAACAGTATTGGCCTTATTCACTCCTATGGCATGTTTCAGACACTTAAAAAACCAAAACAAAACACTTGCTGTACTGTATTTAACTACTGTGCAGTAATAATCTGAAGCAGTGCAGTGTCTCTGTTGTTCTGCACTGTACCATATCATGTTTCAGATTTCTTTGATATTATTTCCCCATTCCATGTTGGTCTGAACAGCAGGGGACTTGCAACCTTAAGGATCAAGCTGTGTTTCCACTGGCTCCTGTGCTGTGGCATACCAACATGCCAAGTTACTTTAGGAATGAATGTAACGTGATTGCCTGTTCTCTGGGTATTCATTTTGCATTCTTAGTTAGCAACAGAACACTTGAATGTGAGAATTTTACTATCAGAAGAACCAGCTGCATTTTTACTCTTCTTTTTTTTCAGCCTGTCATGAAGATTGCATAGTTTAAGCATATTCTCTAAATCTCTTGTAGCATATAAAGCTCGTTCTTAATGAGCAAATGAACTGTTGCTAAACAGTACTTTCAGATGTCTTCATGCTTCTGTCAAAGTTCATGCTGTTGAAGAGACAGCTGATTTAGAGAAAAATCTTTGCATTGGAAAATTGTTGCTAGAGACCTTGATGTATTTATGCCTGCTCTACATAGTCTCAGGGAGCAGTTCCAAAGTGATGGTATGTGTGAAATGTCAGCACAAATTAGCTTTCCCTTTGAGCTCCATAAACAGAAAATGTAAAACAAATTTTCTAGTGTAACCAAATTACTGAAGTAATTGCAGTAAAAATATCTTATTCCTATTAGACTGCACAAAACCAGTGTTTACTGGATCTCTGAGACTCAGATGTGTTTGCAAATGAGTTATATGATCAGCTGTACTCCTGCTTGGTTCTGAGTGTGGAAGTATATGTTTACAAAAAACATGTCTTACTAATGCACTTCTTTGGTTCCTGTAATGTGAAGCTGGAAGATACATAGTTCTTGTTCACAGAAAACAGCATTTGCTTCTGGTACAAAAATTGGAAGAAAAACTTGAGTAATTTCCTGCCGTAACTTTATGTGAATTCTTGTTTGCTTTTCACTTGATGTTCCTGTCTGATGAGCCATACATTGAACTCTGGATTTTCTAATACAAAAGACCTCTTAATGCCTTTTAATTGAGAAAGTTGGCTTGGTGTACCATCTTTCAACTGCTTCAGATGGGCCACACCAGCTCCAAGATCCTGCATTGGGAATTCAGTCTGCCTGGTGTTAGGTATAGCTGGGAAGCAAACAGTGTAGACTTTGAGGGGAGAAAAAGTGTTACAGTATAGAAGTTTGCAATTAGTCATTGGCTGCTGCATTTTTAATAGAAAACATAATTTAGCAATTTTTTTAAAATCAGGTGCTCTGTGGATGTGTATAGTCTTAAATCCCCACTGCAAGTTGGAGCAGAAGGCCAGTTGGCTAAAACAGCTGAAAAAATGGAACAGTGTGGATGTTTGTCCCTGGGAAGATGGAAACCATGGAAACGAGCTGCCCAATTTAACCAATGCTTTGCCTCAGGGTGCAAATGCTAACCAAGGTGAGCCTAAACATATGCACTGACTGCAACATATAATATAACCTCTATCTTATATACTCTAGCCTTGCAGAATTCAGCTCTCTTTCCTGGAAAAAGTAACTTTCTTGTTGAGGATTGACCAGCCAAAATTGTTTTCACTAATACTGTCCTTGCAGAAAGGATAAATAGGTGGTTTTTTTTGTGCTGGGGCTGCAACGTTTTCAAAGCAAGTATTTGTTGTAGACAGGTCTTCTAACTTTTCACTTGGTGCTTCTAAATATGTGTTGCATGAAAATTGGATGTCCTCGAAGTATGTCTTGTAAAAGCCTGTTTCTTTGCTTGACTATAATCCTGTATTCCTTCTGGTGTTGGGGTTTTTATTTTGTTTGCAGTTACGAAGCCTTTGATACCTATTTAAAGAGTGATCTGTTGCAACTGCATTACACTTGAGCGTGTGAGAAACTAAAGCAGCTATCTGTGGGATGTGCTCTGTATGTGCAGTCTGCATTGCCAGGTGTGGGGGGTGCAGAGGCAACGCTGCTGTCTTGGAGGAGGTGTCTCTTCTTACTCAATATCATGCTTCCTAATCTAAAATGTGATTATCAAATCTGACAGAAGTCTTGTTCAGTCATCTTCAAGCAAAGATGGCTACTTCGCTAATAACTGGGGAAGATGCAGGATATTTACCTGGGAAAACACCCTTGTAATCCTCAAAACCCTCAGTATTTTATTACGTGTTTCATGTAATTGATAAAGTTAAATGCTTGGGAGCTGGAAGATTTGGACTTAGATGGGTTTTTCCTTGTTTCTTTTTCTTGGAAGTCTACCTCTGAAGGAAATAGACTTGGTTCATTTTTAAATCTCGCAGCTAGTTGGGGACAGTAGTTCATTCAGCATGTAACTCCCTACAGAGGTGTTTTGCTTTCTGTATCTTGTGATCTTCAGCTCAACCTGGGTAGGCTAGTTGGTCACTTGACACGGCATCTCAACGTTCAGACATAGTGCCATGTCGACAGAGTGGTTTTGCCATAGATGTTCAGTAAGGATTATGTTACATGGCCTCAGTACCTCACTTTCTTTATAGTATTTGTATATGTTTATGACGAAAAAAAAAATTGTACAAGTGCTCAAAGTTAATGTCACTCCTCAAAGGGAACAAGTAAAAATCTTTGTGATGTTTATCCATCCCCTCATCCTGGCAGCTCTGGGTCCCAGGAGAAGAGAAGCTGAGAATGCTTGAGTAGCTGTGTGCCCTATAATTTCTAGTTTGTTTTTAGGGGAGTTCTGTATGTGCTGTTAAATGTCCTTCATCTCTAGCTGTTACCTCTGCAAGTCCTGTTTAGCATCAGCCATGCTGATTTGTAGATCTCTCTGAATGCAAAGTGAATGGCACACACTTGGTCTGAGCTGTTGGGTAATAATAGGATGTGAAATGTCATCTGCAGGCTGCTCGGTGCAGAGGGGGGCAAGGCAGGCTGCCGTCCTTCAGGGGTTGGTGAATAGGCAGAAGACAAGAATACTCTGAATGACTGATTCACATATGAATGAGTAAAAGCTGATGCAGCTTTCTGAACTTGTGAAAATGACAGATTCATCGAACAGGCCACATCGGACAGTGTTCACTCGAGCCATTGAGGCGTGCGATCTGCACTGGCAGGACAGCCACTTACAGCACATTATCAGCAGTGACCTATACACCAACTACTGTTACCATGACGACACTGAAAACTTGCTCTTTGACTCTCACGGGTGGCCCCTCTGGCATGGTAAGTGGCTAAACCGGAAAGACGTTTCCATGACTTGTTGCTTTGTTCATTTTCTATGGCATTATTTTGGGGGGGGATGGTGGGGAGATGAATGAAAAGCCTGGCAAAAAGAACAGAGGCTCCCTTGAAATGCTGGCTCAGAAGTAGTCCTTTAAGTCTCTCTTGCATAGTTTTAAAAACAAAAAAAACCCAAACAAATAAGCTCTTTTGAGTAACCTAGTAAAACAGGCCGTTGCAGACATGAAAGCATCGCTATTCCTCAACTATTTTCTCCATTTCAGAACATGTTCCTACAGCCTGTGCAAGAGTGGACGCATTACGATCTCATGGATACCCACGAGAAGCACTGAGGCTAGCAATAGCTATTGTTAATACACTAAGAAGGCAGCAGCAGAAACAGCTGGAAATGTTCCGGGCTCAGAAGAAAGGTAAATGTGGGAAAGAGAGAAGGGCAAAGGATGTGCTGAGGTGACAATAACACTGGACTGGAACTTTGCATGAGAAAAACCAGTTTTGAAACTAAAGCAAAAGAGGTGACTTTAACTCTTTGGTCCAAACGATCATAGTGGTATTGTCATGTTCTGGATGTCACAGGTTTCCTGTAAGCTGGGTTGAAAGCTGTGCAGGGCAAGGGCTCTGTTCTCCCTTCTGCAATATGTCTGACATGATGGGGCCTTTGTCCCAGTCAGGGGTTTCGGTTACACAGTGAAAATACTCACCCTGTGTAATTTACAGACTTTTAAACAGAGCTTTGCGTTTGGCATGTCAGGTGTTTAAAATAACTTTTCTCTCTGATATATAATTTAGTTGAACTATATATTTCTTGTAAGCCTAAAGTTGATATTGAGGGTGACAATGAGGCAAAGTACACCACAGAAATTCATCAAATTTGGCAGTCTTCTCAAAAAGAGTCTCTTGTAATGCTTAAAATTTTAGTGTTTCTGAATAGGGGTGGATTGCCTTTTTTGTTGTTTTTGAAACACTGTTTTTTATAAAATGTTCTGTGGTGTTCCTTGGATGAGCACTACCCGTGGGGTTTTTTGGGGGGGGGAAGTTTGTGTTTTGGGGGTTTTTTTGGTTGGGTTTTTTTTTTCGGAGGAACCTTCTCCTTCCAGATACAGCTTCTATGCCATGTGATCCTTGCTACCCAAAATAATCCCGCACTGAACTTTGGTACTGTGAAGAGCCAGTGGAAGAAGGGGGATGGCTTTGTAGTTAAAGAATGCACGTGGAAGAGCTGGATTTGGAATTACTTTCTCAGCTGCTAGAAGAATCCCTTAATTGAAATTTTATTTTAGATCTTCATTGCTACTCTTAACTCTGTGTATTCTCATGCGTTGTATGCAAAAACACCAGTGTGAATTCATATGTGTAAATTTTCCAAGTGTGCTTGCAGATATTTTCCCAGAAATTAGCATGTAGAACACAAGGTAGACACCTGACAGAAGAAAAATTAGCTGGCAGTTCCTATGTCCCTCCTTCCCCACCCTTCCTAACCAAGGAAGAAGGGGTTTTTTTGAGCACTATTATGGATCCTAGATTTGAACAAAACTTAAAAGCACTTTGTATTCTTACTTAGGAGTATTTGCTAAGTCTTTTTATCATGTAATGTATCTTTCCTTAACAAGTCTTCCCTTAAAAGCTTTGCAGCTTTTCTAGCTTCTCAGGCTGGGGGTGTAAGAAGGGAGAGGCCTGTGTCAGTGTGTGTGCGCGCGCATATGTGTATGTACCACTGCAGGTGTGAAGGGTCTACTGCAAGTGTGCTGGTTGTGGTACTGCTCCTTTTCATTCCCAGTTGCTAATGCAGTATCTAGACATTCAATACTTTTGTTAAGTTTCTTTCCCTGTGAGCAGTTTCTATAGCTGTCAACTAATATTATGCTATTATAAATAAAAAATGGAGTGTATGAAATGCCATCCATCCTGCCCCAAAACAAAGTAGTATGTCATTTCTATGTTGTCACTCACTGCTTTTTTATTTTTTTTTCCTTTTATGTGTGGAATTTTTAAAAACCACACTTCTAATAGTGCAAAGTGTGCTGGTCTAAGCAGATGAATTCTGCAGCTACAGCCCAGCTTTAGGTTTTAGTTCAACAAACACCACATTCTCCTATTTAATTTTTATGCATGTGACTGATCTGACGTCTGTGGAACCACTTGCATGATTTAAAGTTAAATGTCTGTATGAGTGGAGGACTGAAGCCTGTGTTTGGTGTGACACGAGTGAAGCTCATAAGTGGGCACAATAGAATAAATAGAACATAAGTGAGTCAGTAAGAAGTCACTGATTAATCCTTTTTGGTAATATTACTTGCTTTTGCCTGTCATCTTTAGTACATGCTATTTTTTTAGTAAGACAATGATTTACTTGTTTGTTTTTCATACTGCGTATCAGTGGATTCTTTAAAAAAAACAAACAAACAAAAAAAACCCCCAAAACCCTACAAACCACCCTCCTGATAGTGTGGCTCTGTTTCATTTTGTAGCCCCACACATTTAAATAGGCAAGAAGCAGGATTTAACAGCTCTGGGCTAATACATTTGGCTACTCAGGAAGGGCAAGTGGAGGCAGGTTCAAGTTAGTGTGTAACAGGCAGAGAAACAGAGCATCCATAATGGCTTGTTTATGGTTTTTGAATGGTCACCCATAATGTGTCTGATCTCTCAGTTCAGTCGTGTGTCTAGAAGGAAAAAAGTTGGGAGTTGGAGTCAAAGGACCTGCTGCCATAAGACTGTTATTAAAGAAGAAGATTTGGGGAATCTCTAATATCTGTTACCACAACCACACTTCCTTCAATTCACTAAACAATTTTTTCATGTTCTAACTGAATGATGGGTGAGGGCTACACAACAAAGTATCCATGAAGGTATTTGTTGACTGAAATTTTAGAATGACAAAAAATGCACTTGATCCACTTAAAGGACAATTTTTTTCCTTGTATACCTCATTTAAACATTTAACTTGAAATACTGTGAATTCTGTACTGAGAGCTTTTTGATCAGTTTTATAATTGTTTTGAGGGGCTAACATGTGCGCTCTTTTCCTCTTTCTTCCTTCCATCTTTTCTATCACAGAAATTCTCCACAGAGGAGTAACCTCAATAACGAATCTTGAAGGTTGGGTGGGACACCCTTTGGACCCCATTGGCACCCTCTTCAGTAGTCTGATGGAGGCCTGCAGGGTGGATGATGAGAGCTTCCATGGATTCTCAGACTTCACAGGTAAGGCCAAGCAAAGGGAGCAATCTTCTTTATGTCTTCATTTACCGGAGGCATTTTGCTGTCTTGGCTTTCTGAATCAGCTTCAAAACCAGTGTTCTTATAGGGTAAGAACTCACATTTGTGTTCCTTAAGAAAACACAATGGAAAGAAAATGTTTAAAATATGAAAGCACTTAAAAAATTACCAGTTACTCATTCTTGAAGACAATTCCTTATTTCACACTTGAAATAAAACTGAATAAGACTATAGCAGCAGCCCTCTTCCACAAATGTTGCTCTGTCCTCTTTCTGAGAAGTTGCAGGAAATCACAAGATCACAGAATTGCTGATGTTGGAAGGCACCTCTGGAGATCATCTAGTCCACTTGCTCTGCTCAGAGCAGGGTCACCTAGAGCAGGTTGCCCAGGACTGTGTCTGGTGGGGTTTTGAGTAACTCCAAGAATAAACGCTGTAGACCCTCTCTGGGCAACCTCTTGCAGTGTTCAACCACCCTCATGGTAGCAAAATGGTTTCTTATGCTTAGGTGGAATTTCCTGTATCTCAGTCTGTGCCCATTGCCTCTTGTCCTGTCACAGGATACCACTGAGAAGAGTCTGGCACTGTCTTCTTTACATTCTCCCATCATTTAAACATTTTGGTAAGATCCTCCTGAGCCTTCTCTTCACCAGGCTAAATAATCCCACCTTACTTACTCTCATTATATGAGAGATGCTGCAGTCCTTTAATCATTTTGGTGGCCGTGCACTGGATCTGCTCTAGTATCTCCATATACTGCAGAGCCCACAACTGAACATGGCGCTCCAGGTGTGGGGTCACCAGTGCTGAGCAGAGGGAAAGGGATCACCTCCCTCAGCCTGCTGGCAGCACTCCTCCTCCTGCAGACCAGGATGTTATTGGACTACTTAGCTACAAGTGTATGTAATGCTTCAAACTGATGACAAAACACTTAAAATTGATGACATACGTGGTCTATAAATGATACGAATTGGAAAGCAGTGTTGCAGTATCGATACATGATTTAAGATAGGATGTGCATGTCCATTTTAATTTCAGTATTTGCTTCCCAGGAGCTTAACTGATTAATTCCTGATTCTCACTCTCTTTCCACCTTTGCAGTAGCTTCTTATCACCACCTGTGGGGACAGAAACTGGATTCATTCCTCTACCTGCATCTCTTTTATATGCACATCCACAGTCTTCTTGGGGTTTTGCCTCAAAACTACTTTTATTCAATTAGATTTTCTTCAATAACTTTCTAATCCCATATCCACCAATTCTGGAAGAACTTTTAATTAAAAGAAATCGGAAATCAGATTCTTCGCAATTATAAAAAAACAAAACAACCCCATGAAATAAAAATGGTGTGTGTTGGAAAGTAACTTCCTCCTATGCATGTGCAATCTACCAAATGCATTCAGCCTTCCCACTTGCTGCAGTTGTCCATCTCCGTACATCTGTCCATTGTAACTTCTTGTTCCCAAATTAGACTGTAAACTGCTACATGTTGGAATAGCATTTTGTCATATGGTGTGTCTGAAGTGCCAAATGAATCGGTAGTACTCTTTAAAGCAATGGCTTGGTCTGTGTGGAACTTAGATGTAATCTTTGCTAAGAGTAGGACTTCTAGTGTTAATAATACACATTTTTATCATAAATACAACTGTAACAAGTAAAAAAGCCTGAAAAAAACACTAGCAAACAGAGGATGCTTTAAAGTTTTGGAGTTCCCAGGCCTGTTGTATAATACTAACAGAGGAAGCATTTGTGTATGTGGCATTATAGGCAGATTATGGGTTAGAATGATTCACTGATGTGTTTCTCTTTGTGTCACTCCGTACAGAGAACATGGGGCAATGCAAATCTCTGGAGTACCAGCACCTGCCTGCACACAAGTTCTTAGAAGAAGGGGAATCTTATTTAACGCTGGCTGTGGAAGTGGCATTGATAGGGCTGGGACAGCAACGAATAATGCCAGATGGCTTGTATGCACAAGAGAAGGTTTGTCGAAATGAGGAGCAGCTCATTTCTAAGCTACAGGAAATTGAATTGGATGATACTCTGGTGAAGATTTTTCGAAAACAAGCAGTCTTCCTATTAGAAGGTAGCTTAATATAGATGCTAACTGCTTCTTTAAACTGTCTTCACTTGCACAAGCACACGGAACTAGTATTCCTGTGGAAACTGCCTTATATACTTCAGATGTTTTTTTGACGTAGAACTCCAGCAAAATTTTGTTTCCAATCTCTTACGAAAATCAAACATACTTCAGATATCACCAGACTCTAGAGATAAGGCATCTATTGACCTATAAGCCTTTTGTTTTGATTACACTGTTCTTTAGTTTTGTCATCTGTCGTAATCTCAGTATCCTGATTATACAACCCAGGCTCACAAGTAAATAATAGAGAGACATCCGTTACCATCAACAGTTCTCAGGTTGTAAAATTCTGTGTGTTCCTTATATCCTGAAAAAGGTACTGGCAGCTTTGTAAATGTCTGAAGAGTTTTACCTCTGTTCCTAGGTGAAGAGCTCAGAAAATTCACTTAGAATTGCTGGGACAAAAATGTAACGTTTTGTTTGTAGCAATTAGGAAAAGGACTTGCCTCTGAAGTTTGTATCATATGTGAAAATTGAAATATGTGATCAAATATTGAGGCTTAAGGCCTTGTGTTGCGACTAAATTTTGACCAAGACAAACAATTTCTGTTTGGGAATTGCCAGTGTGTTGCAATAAAATCTGTACAAAAGAGTGCATAGTTTTGCCTTAGCTCTTAAAAAGACTTAACACGTAGCACTTAAGCCTCATGTTCAGAGAGTAGTCTCATGGGTTCTGAAGTTGTCTTTCAGGGCTTTGGGTTTTTTAAATGGAAGAAAAAAACTTTAGAGGAACCAATTAGCCAAAGGCATGGTCCAAGTGTTGAGTGCTTGCTCAGGGGATAGTGGGGAGTGTGGTACTGCTCTAGGTAAATTGTGAAGACTGTTACACAGCAGTCAGGTTTTGCTTTCTTTCTGAAAGACATTTCTCTTTTAAAACTTCTTCTTTAATGGAAGAGGTGCTGTATGTTGTTTAGGGTTCTCAGCTTTGGGTCACTATTTTTGCTCAGGTCCTTAAAGACTTTGGTACCTACTGATGGTGCCATTTGAAACTGCAGAGAAGCCACACCATGGGGAGAGTTTCCATTATGGTGTGGCTGTACTGCTGTTTTCTGGTCTTTGGACAAGAATTGCTGCTTGCTAGATCCAGCTATTAACCACCATACAGGGATCCTATGGATTATAAAATCAATTTGCTGCATCTATTTACTGGTATGGATGGTTTATGAGGAAAAGGCAGGATTTCTCTGAAGTGTTCTCTGATAGTTCTAGTTTACTACTTTGATCACTGAAATTCTTTTTTATGTTTTCTTAGAGTAGTAAACAAGTGATCATAGCAGGAAATCTGCTAATATAACCACCTACAAAATTGCTGTGGTGAGCAGCGTGCAATGATGGTCTTGCATTACTGCGTGCTAAGAAATTTGGCTTTCTTGCAATAGGTTCAGTTTACTCCAGGTTAGGCAGAAACTGCCAGCTCACAAGGAGGAAAAACTATGCAGTGATTTAAGATGCTAATCATATCAATTGTGTTTTTATAAAGTCCTGTAGATGTAATAAAGAAAGCTTAATCCAATATTAAGCTGATTTCTATGCTGTTAATGCAGATTAATGCATGCTGTATGTAGCTACCATTTGAGTGCGTGGGAAAGCAGAACATGAGACTGTTTTGCAAGAACTGTTCTAATTTTTTGCTTGACTGCTAAGTTAATGGCAGAATATATTTTCATATAAAATGGTTTGTCATGTATTTTTCATGTCCTAACTGAGTTTCTGACTGGACCACCAACTGGCAAACATAGTGAAATGGCTTCTTTCATTGAAGCAATGCCAGCTAGTTTTGAATGGCTTTCAGCTTCACTTTATATGATTGAGACACACTGTCACCTACTAAATCTTCATTGACATTTCCTTTGTAATCAGCCCAAGTCCTCAGAAGTGCCCACCTATGGAGCTCAAAATTTTTTCATGCCTAGTGATTTTTATCTTTGCATGTTGTGCTAAGGCACCAGTCAGAAAAACATTGCTGAAACAGCTTGGCTGTTTCTCCTCATCTGCTCTCCTCATCTGCTTCAGTGTAGAGTCAGCCATGTTAGTTTGAACCGCTGCTGGAAGCAGTTTAAATGACACATGTGACTCTGCAGCAAAGAAGTGTGCTCACACGGTCATTCATCCATCCATCCAAGTGTGGTGGGCTGGAGTCTCTAGTAGAAGAAGTAGTAGTAACTTCTAGGACTGCTGGCTGCTGTCTGTGCAATAATAGTCCAATAATGCTTAATGTAAGGTTCTTATTCTGTATCTTGCAACATTTAATGCCTGAACCTCTAGTCGCTGAAGTTGAAAACTGACACAGTTTTCTATTAACAGGAATAACAGTCTTAAGGTTGCAGGAAAAATTTAAAAGTGGGGTTCATATGCACCATGAACATTTAAAACTCAGCAAGGAAATAGTGGCATTTAACTTTTTTATTGTTGTCAATCCTGACGCTGCTGTTACGAAGTTGAAATACTACACTGGCTGCACTGAGTGTGAGCAAAATCCATTGCCCTAACAATGGGGAGAATTTTCCCACGACAAATACAATTTTTAAGATCATGTGGCTATAATGGACTAACAAAACCAGCTTTGGTGTAGGATCTGACCTAGTCTTCTCTGGAGACGAAGTCCAGACCAAAGAGTTATTTAAATGCCTAATGTCAGGTGAGACATTGATAGGGTGCTGCTGTGGTGATTGGCTATGGAACTTCAATTAAATATATGCATTTTTCTACTGTAACCACTCTTCTTTTTTTTTTTTTTCTTTTTTTTCTGGTGGACTTGTGATAAATCAGTCACGCACCAACAGGGTTCATAGGTATTCATGTGCACAGTGTAACTACGTGGAGCCAAAGCTAGGATGATCGCTTTCTACTTCTGCATAGCATAGGCTTGCTGAATGAGCCCCATGGAGCACCGGAACTGTTCTGTTATTTGTATGCACACTGGTAGTGTGCTTAGTACTATACAATTTGCAATCTGTCTTGTCTCAAAGAATACATGGTATTTAATGTACTTGTAATACATTTTATATACATGACATATGTGTAATGTATTTCAGAGAAAATAGCAATATAACTTTACCTTTTGTATAGCAAACTCTGTCTCTGAATACCAATTCTAACTGAAGGTATAGTGAATGTTTTTAAAGGTCCAGAAGTTGGGTTTTAGCAGTATGTAAAGACCGATGTTCTCTTTCTCTTTCCTGCAGCTGGACCATATAGTGGTTTAGGTGAAGTCATCCATCGAGAGAGCGTTCCAATGCACACATTTGCCAAGTATCTCTTCACCTCTCTCCTACCTCATGATGCTGAATTAGCATACAAAACTGCACTGAGAGCCATGCGGTATGTATTCATGAGTCATCTAGAAAGAGCACAAGTAGCAGTTAGGAAAAGGGGAAAAAGCTTGGTAATCAAGACCTAGTCTTTTTTGCTAAAAGAAGCATTCTTCCCTTTAAGGAGAAAATATTTTGGTTCTGCCATCTGTAAAAGCAATTGGTGTCTGTAGTAACTACAGTATAATAATGTATTAATGTACAATTAGTCTTTTATCTACAACTGTAAAACAGCATTCTCTACTACAGATCCTTCTAGAATCCCACTCCTTGGCTACATGGCTTTGTGTTAAACAATGACAGCTTTAGCACGTGCATTCTCACCCATGTGGTTGTGTGCGTGTGATGGTATTGGCAGGGGATCTCAGGATCATCTGCTACTTAGCCTGTTTGGTAGGAGTATTTGTTCTGCTGGCCTTCTTTATAAATTAACTCTAAATGATAGATTTGAAACCATATGGTGTGCTCTGAGCCAGTACTTTCTTCTTGTGCTTCATAATGAATAATTGGTGTATATTCACCAGTCACTTCTGGGTGAATGTTGGGGTTTAAATGGAGTATGTCATATGACAACAGTATGTCTGACTTGCATCCCATTTGTCTTCAGTAATTAGGAAAAAGGTGTTTCTCAGGGAGTGCTCAGTGTGTGCTGGCTTTATCTCAAAGCAGGACAGATTGGTAATGGTGGCTAAGAAAAGGACTCTGAAGGAAGTTTCAAGGGCCTAAAAGATCAGCAATAAATCTGTTGTCCACATACAATGCAGGGAGGAAACTGGTCCCATCATGATTGTCTGGTCGCTGTCAAGAACCTTGTAGTTGATGGTTGACAAAGAATAACCACAACTGAATACTAAGAGCAATCAAGCCCCAGATTTTAAAAAGAAATAAAGGTATTGGGTTTTCCTGTCACTATTATCAAGGATGATTACACAGTGATTGAAGGACACACTATCCATACAAGCAGTGTTTAGCTTCATCAGGCAGGTTGTGTCCTAGTGGTTTGGAGATGTGTATTCTGGAGCTAGTTTCTCCAAAAAGCTAAATGGGGAGAAAATAATCCTGTGTTCAAAGGACTAAACTGGAGGGCATGCATAAGAAGAAAACATAGCTACTATCAGGTCAGGCCAAAGGTCTGCTTAGCCTGGGGTTTTTTGCCTCCAAGAGTGTCTAGTAATGGATGTTAAGGAAAGAGTCTAAGACATATGAAGCATGGTCCTGCGTACTTGCTGCTTATGATTGGCATTTTAGGAAATAAATTGAGAAGGCAAAAGTGCATTACTGATGAACTATTGAGAACATTGAAAGGTATGATCAGAAAGCTGTCTGGGCCATCTAAGTACAGCCCTCTTTTATCGCAAGTTAAGTGCATCAATAACCCTGGTCATATCAGATCAGCAAGATAGTATGAGATGTGGTGGGTGGGGTTTTTTGGTTTTGGGGTTTTGTGGGTTTTTTTTAGGAAAAAAGTCAATTTTACAAAGTAGACTTGTGTCCTTGTATTTATTTTAGTTACTACCTTGAAGTGTTTCTCAGAGATTGTTTGTGTGGAGTTTTCCTCCTTAAACTAAACTACTGAAACCATGCTGAAAGGCTGGAACAGACATCCATCAACAGCTTTGCACAGTGCACTGAACGCTTCAGTGAACGTGACGGCAGCATGCCATTCCTTTTGAACAAAGATTTGGGCTTTCCCCAGAAACCAGACATAACTAGAAACTTCTTTTCTGGAAGTTTCCCTTCTCAACTGGAAAAACAAGCAAGACACTGAAAGATCCAAATGATGAAATCTCTGGTTAGTCATGGGTAGCTCCAGCCATCTTTTGGTATGAAGCTGTCATCTCAGCCAAAGAAGTTACTTTTCAAACAGACCAGTATAAGAAAGAGTCGTCTGTTCATTTCCATCTGGTAAAATCACAGGAGACATCAGCGTAATCGGGGCTCTTCTCCATAGGCCTTTTGTCATCACTTTATAAGGCAGATGAGAGTTCATCCCTAGACAATAATCAGTCTTTCTGTGTTTTGATATTTGGCGCTCTTCAGAAATGTGGACTGCTATCTTGAACTGTGGTGATGGCAGATTTAGACACTTTCTATTCCATGTCTGTCTGCATTCCTCAGCACTTCTCAAATACTCCTGAAGAAAGTTGGTTACTCTTTCCATTCACACCAAAGCAATAGTTCAGCATATAAAGGACTCCCAATACAAACCAAATGAAAAAGTAACTTAATACTGCCTTGAAGGGGGAATAGCAAAGAAAACATGAAGACTGAATGCCTGTCTCGTGATCGTGAGGTTGAATGGATCAGAAGAGGAAAGCTTCAGCATCTTTTCTTCCATAGCAGAGAGGAAATGGCTGTGGCAAGGACAAAAGGCTCATGTGGAAATTAGTAAAGGTGCTGCACAGAAATCTGTGGTGTGGTTCATGCTTTTAGAAGTGGAGCATATTTCTTTCTTCACTTCAACATTTATTAAAGTTAAGTTCTCAAGACCCCAGCTAGTTGCTCTCCAGACATAAGTGTTTAGTGTTAGTCTACACACAAGTCTACACGGGTCAATGACGCATGATGGCAGCTCTAGAGTATTTTACCTCTCTGTATTCAAAACCAGCTGTTGCTGTTTCATTTTTTGAATGCTATTCTAGTGTGTGGAACACTCAGTATGAAATCAATGGAAGCTGAGACCATAAAGCCTTTCATGCATACACCTTGGGTCTGTAAGGACCGGAATGTGCTATCCTTGATGGTCACTTGTCTAGAGTTCTCTGCTTGCAGCACTGAAACATACGGAGCAGAGGCTTGGAGAATGTGGATCTGCAGTGACCTAGTTGACTGCTCACTTGGAATCTGAACTTGAATGTTTGGCTTAGTTTGGCTGATCCATTGTTAAGCCTGAATTTCATCCAGGCTTTGGGAGCCAGACTTTAATGGTTGTTTAATCACAAGGTAGCTTTGCTAAAACCTAGCTAAATAATTGATGTTTGAAAAAGGCGGGTGGAGAAGTGAAGAATGCTAAATCTGCTTGTGTTTGTTCTGATGTTCCCTAATCTTGCCAAAATTGCATGAAAGCCACCAATTCACAACAGCATTTCTTTTCACAGCAAAAGAACATAGAAGTTGGCAATTAAATTCAAAGTGACAAAAGATTTCCCCAGAACAGCCTCTTTCTTTCATGCACTTTGTCGATTTACTGTTACTCATAACCTAGTAATCCCATTTTGCATTACGTAGTTGGGATTTTTACTGTTTATTTAAACCATCTAATAATGCATCTCTCCCCCTGCCCTCTCTCTCTGCTTGGAAAAAAATCAGCTGAAGAGTTTATATGTATTTTATTTTTATGTATATAAAGCTATATAAAGAGGTGTCTCATTGGTACTAGGGAAGAGATTTGACTCTTGGTATAAATCAAAAGGGAAGTTTTTTTTTTTTCATATTAGCATGCACATACATGTGTCTGAAAATCTTAATATAACCTGCTGATAGTTATTTACGTGGTGTGTTGTATTTATATGTGCCTGCTAGATACCCTTCCATATATTCAAAATTACCTTTCTCAGGGAATTCTTAAAGATTGTCTCATGTGCTTCAGGAACCTACAGAAAGCTGATGGAACTTAAAACTATCTTACTGAAAAAAAAAAAGACATGCACTGCAGTTACTTAAAGAACTTTGGTATTTATTTACGTGCAAGGAATTGTAACTTATTTTTAAATGAGCTTATTCCATAAGAAGTATTCTATCACAGAAAATCACTATGCATTGGATTTTCAATATTATATATATATTATTTTATATACATAAAT